CTTTTCTCAGTGATTTTGGACCTTAAGCCCATGCCTACTGTAATCCAACACGAAGTCCTATCGGAAGAGATATGATTTTCGTTATCACATCGATTCATTAGGCACATTACAGCGACTTCAGCTGCTGGCACCCTAATAATTGCGCCGTATGAGCTCTGCTACCAATAATATATAACGCTTTGTTAAAACTTCTGATTGTTAAGAATTTTTTTGACTTCCAAGAAAATGACATTCGGCAGGCTAATTTTTCTTTGCGTCTGCTAGGAGACATTGAAATTTGAAGTCTACACAAAGTGCAAAGTGCAGAAACCAGCACACAAAAAATACTTTTTACCTTTTTTTCTGCACTGTGAAGAATTCTCTTATAGATAACTCTTAAGTGGAAGGATAGTATCTACGTCCAGCTACTACTTTTAAGACAGAACTTTTTGAAGGGAAGTGCCGCAGACACATGCAACTTCAAAGAAGCAATCACGGATCTTTTCAAATATTTCCAGAAATGGCAAGATGGACGTTACTCAGATGAAGAGAATGAAACTGTGGAAGCATCTCAGGTCGATTTGCCGATATTGAAGTTTGAAGCTACACCATCAAAAGATGGAAAATGTGTGTTCATGTTAGCACCACTTGCTCGCTCCACTATAGCTGGAATTTTCGTCAAGGTATGCTAAAATGTTTTTTTTTTGTTTCTGATTACATTATGAGTTATAAATCTCACGTCTAACGTTTCAGAGAATATTTGAGATAGAAATCCCTTCTCTCACATTTCTTCTCAAGCATACAAAGGAGTTAATTTCTGACGAGAATGCAGTCGACTATTTTTGTCGTTTTCCTAATAGGCGGAGCTTAAAGTGAGGAAGATGGGAGGTCGTGGATTTCGAGAGATTATTCAGTCTTCGGGATGCTACCCAATCAGTCATATGCTCGAAAACTCTTCCTACTCCTTATTATAGCAGTATCTATGGTCAACTGTGAACATCGAGCGACACGGTCTTAGTGAGTCCATGCATTCTAAAGGATCTGAGCTTAGAAGATTGAAGTACACAATTGGTCTCAATCCTTTGACAAAGAGTTTGAAATTGACTGCAGAGTTTTTCAGTTTCAAAAATCGACTGGGAAAGTGGTACACCTGGAACTTGCCGTACGGA